CATTCATTTACTTGACTGTCATAACATCTGCTGACGCTGCGTGAGTAGGATTAATGTGCTTTAAGCCTTTTTATCCGGGTGTATTACTTTCTTTTTATTTAATTATCATATAGCATAATAATTTATTAGCAAAAATATATTAATCACATCATTTCTATATGCATAATAAATTAATTAAGGGTCAATGCCCCGAGGTGAATATGGTGTGATAAAGCCTTGTCAGGTGCTATAACCACCGAATAAAGCCACTGAGTGAGCGCAGCAAACAAGGTGGCTTTGTGAGGTGGTTATGGCAACTGTCAAGGCTTTATCACACCATATTCACCGGGAAATAAATAATAACTTATATAATTTATATGCAGAATAAATTAATAACTTATATAATTTTATGCAGAATAAATTAGTAACTTATATAATTTTATGCAGAATAAATTGATAATAGCATTTACACATTGTGCGTAAATGATCAACAATAAAAGGAAGCAAATACACCATACAAAAAGTTTGTTGATGTAAGGACACACTGACTTTATTTTATAGATGACATCCTCTGAAGACCCCAGACTAGTGCGCGCGGGTGAATTAAAACAATCCAGCAAAAAATGCTGCTAAACCACAGGAATACAAAGCTGGTATTGTGAATTTGCGGTAGCACATAGCGGCTTTTACGACAAGCCTGCAAGGCTGGCCTTTTGCAGCATTTATGAGTCGGCACTGTACTCTGTTTCTTAGTTCCGTGGAGCTTCGGCAGCCTGGGTGCCGTCCTCCATAGTTACCGCCGGCTCCCTACCGTCCCTAGCTACCATGGACTACGGAAGATGGCACCCAGGCCAGAGCCTTGGAGGAGGTGATTTTTTAGAACAGGCGAAAATCAATGCGCGCGGATGTCATCCATAAAATTAAATCAGTGTGGCCTAAATGTTGATGTAATTCAGGTGTGAGTATGACCAGGGGAGCTGTGGCACTGTATTGTACAGCCTGTTACGTCGATGAAGGTTAGACATCCAGGCAATACGATATGCCAAAAAGCAGTTACTCAAGCAACTGGATATAATTTTGGAAACGGTCAGACGTTCCAGCTAGCATCTACTAGCTTTCGTCAGTGACTGAGAGACCAGATGGGAAATCAGCAGTTACTCTCTTTTTCAATCTGCACCAAGTGTCATCTACATATCGAAACCAGTTGGCTTGGGGAGTGTCATTGAAAGTGCTGAGGGCTTTGTTTTCAAACTTCTCCATGTACAGGTTTACAACGATCGGTGAAACTGGTGATCCCATAGCACAGCCGTGCATTTGGTGGTAGAACTGTCCTTTGTAGGTAAAACATGTGCATCCTAAGCAGAGTTCTTGCAGTTCACATACTTGGTCAACGGATAGGTTGGTTCTATCTACAAGTGTATAGTCGGCTTCCAAGGCTTCCCTGACACTGCTTTTTTGGGTGGTATGGACGTAAAAAGTGAGCACACGTCATACGGAGTGATACAGCCTGTTACCTTCTCCAGTAGATCAACCACAGATCTAGAGCTGATGACACCCCCTGGGAGCACACACGCATGGAGCTGCATTACTCTTAAGCTTCTCCGGTGTCTGAGAATCTTGTCTTAGCAAGTTCGTGGATCGGGTAAGTATCCTTTAGGGACATGCATGATGACATCCTTGACTCATCATCATATTGATATACATCTACTAATAATATCTGCCATACAAGTTGTGAAAACCCAACCTCTCTGGCAAATTTTTCCTTCAATTTTTCTTTTATATTTTCAAAGCAAAACAGGCTGTATTTTTAGATCAAAACCGTTTTCCTTATACCTCTCTAGAACAAAATATGATGAAACAAATGCTACAATTTCTTATTGTTCCCCTCGTCTAGAATATATTTTACATGCACATCTAAACTTTTCAAAACAATTTAAAAAAATACAAAAAACTAGAAATATAATAGTCGACACCAATGCTACAATTTATTACTAATCACCTCGTGTAGAATATATTTTACATGCAGATCTAGACTTTTCAAAATAAGCTAGAAATAGCATAGAACTGCCGACACAAATGCTACAATTAGTCACAGACCGCCTCTTCTAGAATATATTTCAGATGCAAATCTAAACTTTTCATAACACTGCTAAAAAAAGCTAAAAATGTCCTAAAACTGCCGACACAAATACTACAATTCATTATTACTGACCACCTTGTCTAGAATATAGTTCATATGCAGATCTAAAATTTTCAAAATACTGCAAAAAAAATAATAAAAATATCATAGAACTGCCAACACAAATGCCACAATTTGTCACTGACGGCCTCTTTTATCATATATTTGATATGCAAATCTAAACTTTTCAAAAGACTGAAAAAATCTAGAAATGTCATAAAAAACTGCCGATTGACCTGAGCCACAGTCTTTCTGTGTTTTTCCGATACACGCAGTTAGCTAATCTTCACCTTCCCTCTGACTGATGGGTCCTGTTGCGCACCTATTGAATCCATCTGAACGGGGGTCATAGGTCAGAAAATAAATGGCCACCCTATACATCAATCTGGACACCTCAGCTCAGCCATATCCAGGATTACAATGCCCCGGTCCTGTCTACTGTAAATTTGGCATTCCGATGTTATATGTAACGTACATGATAAGTACCTCACCCCCAAGTTCATCGCTCTGTAACGTCCATCAATTCTCGGCACGACTTTTTATCTCTCTCACAAGACACTTTGCAGTATCTTCTTTGAACGCTAAGCACTTCATTTTTTCCATTTCTTTTTCATGTTAACTCTTTTCACGTTATAAAGTTTGTTGTATTGTTGTACTGTGAATGATAATAAAGTTTAGATAAAAATAATGACAAGTAAAATTAAAAACCTTTTGCCTGACCTGAACCTAGACATCTGGACCTGTATCCGGACCTGAACCTAAACCTCTGAACTTGAAACCGGACCTGCACCTAAACCTCTCGACCTGAAACCGGACCTGAACCTAAACCTCTGGACCTCAAACAGGATCTGAACCTAAACCTCTGGACCTCAAACAGGATCTGAACCTAAACCTCTGGACCTGAAACCGGATCTGAACCTAAAAATCTGGGCCTGAAACCGAACCTGAACCTAAACCTCTGAACCTGAAACCGCACCTTATCCTAAACATCTGGACCTGAATTCGGACCTGAACCTGAATCCGTACCTGAACCTAAACCTCCTCTGAACCTGAATCCGGATCTGAGCCTAAACCTCTGGACCTGATTCCGGACCAGAACCTAAACCTCTGAACCTGAATCCGGACCTGAACCTAAACATCTGAAATCGAATCCGGGCCTGAACCAAACATCTTGACCTGAATCTGGAACTGAATCCGGACCTGAACCTATACCTCTGGACCTGAATCCGGACCTGAATCTTAACCGCTGGACCTGAAACCGGACCTGAACCTAAACCTCTGGACCTGAATCCGGACCTGAAACCGGACCTGGACCTGTACGTGGGTTTGGGTACACAGCACAGCTATATCCGTCGGTGTTTGGTGACTGATGTCTCCTCGCCTCAGATGGAATGAGAATCGAGCGAAACGTTTCAGCCATCAGCGTACGTGGGCCGCTCGGATCACAAGGGCTCCCACGCTTCGGAATCGATCTCTGATACTTTCGCCTCTCAAAACAATTACTAGGCGTATTTTTCCCCGGAAGCTCTAATATTTCACATTAATGAAAAGCTGAGTAGATAACTGCCCTGAGCCCTACACAGAAGAAAAAGAATCCTGCATTGTTTCAAGAATTAAAGCGATATTATGTCAGCTTTTTGGCACCAAAGCTGTATATGTAAGTAAATTGAATTTTTTTTCAAAAGAATGTAAACAAACAGCTTTTTTCGTCCGGGTATCCGTCAGTTTTCCAACACGTTTTTGCGGCGCAATGACGTTGATTTTTTTTACTCCCCTGATGGCATTATGAACCCAGGTAGGCTTATAGCGCAAAAAAATGTGTAAAATAGTGAACATCTTTCAGTTATGATCATTTAATAAGTAACTAAACCACACAAACCTCGATCCTACATCGAAAAAGTGCAAATTTTCTGTAAATGCCCCCACTAACACCACAAACCGCCCACTGCTGTTCATTTCCTTGATGTGAAAACTAGACCTAATGTAGGACAAGCGCTTTCAAATTTGTTGACACCGTGTGTTTCATATCGACCCTCTATTACAAAACGGGCCGCCAGCCCTGCTAATACTTGCAAGGGGTAACTCCCTAGGCATGGGCAAATTACATGCCACGGAGTGTGGAGGTATGTGGCTCAAATTACACCTTTGGAAACAGAACAGCGTTTGGGGCCTTTAATTTATAGGGCTGAGCCGTGAAAAAGATGCACTGATTACCAAATGCCCCATTAGGCGACGTCTTAATATTCATCAACACCGAGAGAAACCTTTTCTTAAGGCGTACGTATTAACGTATATCGGATGAGACAGATATTAGAGCGGACGTATTTTATATCCTGACCTGGGTTTGTAAGTAAGATGTAGAATAGTGTGGACTTCTAGCAAAGATGACAGCTAAGAGCGGCCCTTCTGAATAATAACGCACTGTGCTGGTCCATTAACGGTAGAGTGTGCTGGCGAGGGGCGCTTTAGATTCTAATTGTAGTCTTGAGACCCAAAAACCTAACATCAGGATTAGTGTTAAAGCGTCAAATATTTCTTAAAGACAGACTGCAACCATAAGCAATACGATTCGAAATCTCTAAGCGGCGACGAATTGTCTGCTTTGAATTTTTTTCGTTACGACGTCATCCTCTGACGTCAGAGGCGAATCTGAAATAGAGTCAAACCTGTTTGTGTTCGCACACACCAGCTGCCATGAGTATCCACTTCGAGATTACCCCGTATATCTGTGCACTAATTTGTAGTACATCACAATTGCGGGTTATTAAACATGATCAAACAACCTGGGTGTAAAAAGAATATTTACGTTTGCTTGATAAGAATAAGACTAAAAATTGCTCACCTGAGAATGAAGAATTTCGGAGCTTCCACCTCCGGCCATGAGGATGGGCATTCCAAGCTCCCCTGCTATCTGCTTCACGTACAAAGACGACTTGACGTTGTCTTCGTCACCAGCGTAGATGACAGCGTTTACTCCCTTCTTCACCAAATCCCCACACAAGCTCCGGACAATATTCTCGGGGCTGACGCTCTTGATGACTTTGTCGAGCGGCTTGATCTCCAAGGTCTGGCCGCTGCGATAGTTGGCCTCCATCACGGCATCTCTGTAAGGTTGCACCATGCGTTGTTCCACGAACATACCTCCCAGTTTGATCTCAGGTGCCGTCCGATCGCTCCCGCAGATTCTCCGTGACGATCCGATCCTCTGTGCCCGCAGCATAGACAAGCAGGTAAGGCAGTACAGGCCCACGAGCACCTTCATCGTGACGGGCTTCCTTCCAGATCTAGCGAAGAAAAGCAAAAAGGCAGCCGTTAAAGAACATATTGTCCCTTCTTGTTACTCCCTTCACTCCGCACTCTACGCCACACATCAAATGTGGAATATTCAGCCTTGTGAAGCTTCGCAGCGGCGCTGAAGTGAAGGAAGGCGCAAGGCTGTAATAATATTCGCAGAGCGAGCCACACCTTGAAGAAGGGCCCTGGATGGGAATAAAGTCTGTGTGAGAGGTTCTAGCAGAAGCGGCGAATGACGCGGGACTCCTGAGGTACGCCTGCTGCTTCCATCGCCGGCAGACAAATGTAGCATGTGATTGAGTCAGAACCTTCTGGTGATGAATGCGCGAGGATGGTGCGCGTCTCGAACCTGGGAACGCCGGCGGAGGGGCCGGGCTGCCGGGTGGAAGGAGAGGTGGATCCGCGCAGACGGATGAAAAATTGGGACGAAATAGCCACAAAATATCCGCACAGGGCTCATACAATACTCGTACTCAACCCACCAGAGGACGATTGTATAACACAGGCGCTCACCGCGCAGACCGTTCGGACACTTCGATCGAGTGTCAGTCTTGTTTTCTCTTCAGTAAATTTGCTCGAGTTGATTATGCAACGGAATAATTACACCAATTCTGCTCTCTAAATGCAAAGAAAGAAACTCATTATTACAAGTATCCCTAAAATTAAGACATGGGTGTTTTCAACTACGAAAACTGCATTGCACTGTAAATGTATTGCACAGTAAATTTGCGTTAGTTGATTATGCAACGGAATAATTACACCAATTCTGCTTTTTATATGCAAAGAAGGAAATGCATTATTACAAGTATTCCTGAAAAGACATCTTATAATGTTTACAGCTATGCAAACTATTTTACACTGTAAATGTATTGCACAGTAAATTTGCGGTAGTTGATTATGCAATGGAAAAATTACACCAATTTTGCTTTCTATATGCAAAGAAAGAAACTCATTGTTACACGTATTCCTGCAAAGACATGAGTGTTTACTTGCAACTATGTAAACTATGTTACACTGTAAACGTATTGCACAGTAAACTTGCGGTAGTTGATTATGCAACGGAATAATTACGCCGATTTTGCTTTCTTTATGCAAGAAACTCATTGTCACAAGTATTCCTTAAAAGACATATTATAGTGTTTACAACTACGCAAACTAGTATTGCACTGTAATTGATCATACACTCAATGGGAAAAGATATACATACATGATAAGAAAAGATTAAATTTTGCATCGCCTGTGGGCTGCTTTTGTTTCTGCATATTGCATAAATCTGACATAAGTTTACAACTACGCAAACTATTATTGCACTGTAAATGATCACATACTCAATGGGAAAAGATATACATGTACATACTTTGCATCAAAAGATTAAATTTTGTATCGCCTGTGGGGTGCTTTTGTTTCTGCATATTGTATAAATCTGACATTAGTGTTTACAACTACGTAAACAATTGCACTGTAAAAGATTACACACTCAATGGGAAAAGATATACATACGTGGCATCAAAAGATTAAATTTTGTATCGCCTGTGGGCTGCCTTTGTTTCTGCATATTGCATAAGTTTACAACTACGCAAACTATTATTGCACTGTAAATGATCACACACTCAATGGGAAATGATATACATGTACATACATTGCATCAAAAGATTAAATTTTGTATCGCCTGTGGGATGCTTTTGTTTCTGCATATTGCATAAGTTTATAACTACGCAAATAATTATTGCACTGTAAATGATCACACACTCAATGGGAAAAGATATACATACATGACATCAAAAGATTAAATTTTGGGCTGGTTTTGTTTCGGAATATTGCGAAAATCTGTGCCCTGCTGGGACCACACATTGTCCACATGATTGATGACACTGATAAATGTTAGATTTAAGACGGATGCTGCCGATCATCTGTTGCCGGCTCACAGGCATGTATGCGATTGTTTCATTATAGCGCAAAAGCCTTTAACAAATTCCCAGCCTACCCCAGCGGTAGCTATCTCGATTTTTAGTGATTAGAGAATGAATTCCCGTTTCAACGGCGAACGCTGATACCGATCTAAAACTGCTATTAACACTGGTTTTTCCTATCCTACTGGTTTATCACGCTTTAGAGGTTGCCGACTTCAGAACTCTCAGAAATAGCAACTCTTTTACTCAGTACAATTACAGAACTGCCCGGTATCAGAGCAGCACTCTTCCCTTCTGTGTACGATTGTTGAATAATGACATGTAAATATTTGTGCGGCCTCCATGTATGCAGAATATCTTATTTATCAGCAAAACGTTTTAGAATATAATCACCAATTGATTTTAAAATTTCTGGAATTTTATATTGACTGATTGTACCCACCTTCCGTCTGTTTCATTCATGTGATAAGAATTTTCTATTATGTTGTCAATATGAGTCATAGATGACCTTGAATTGTTAAGGAACCACAATTCAGACTAATTAAGGCTGCCAGTGTTTTTATTCTCAATAAGGCCACACCAATTTAATTTCTTGATTAACGGATTCGCCCGCTTCATTTCTTACTGATTTGCAAAAAAAAAATCAGAATCAACTGCAAAATGCTCATATTTTGCCCCGAACAGTTGAAAACAGTCCTTTTCTTCCTAGTTGTTACAGTTATTCCATCTTTCAATGCAATGGTATCATTAGAAATTAAAAATTCATCGTTTAAATTTTGAACCAGCCTGGTGTGTCGACTTCATGGCTCCTATTGTACCATTTTGGGCCATAATAGGATGCCTAGGCCTGTTTTTTATTTTTTTCGCCCGCCCGCTCCATTATTTTTCTAGAAAAATCCGTTAACCAAGAAATTAAATTGGTGTGGCCTAAACCATAAACCATTTCATCACTCTCGTTAGAAGCTGATCCAAGAAGACTAAGACATTCGTAAACCGCCATTGTTGCTGCACCTAGCTAGGCGCTTGGAGAGCAAGTCTCGAATAACAGTTCCTCAGCCCAGTGTCGTTTGCTCGCCATGCTGCATTATTTATGAAAACCATCTCGCCAAATATTTCTTAAAAGGAGCATCCACTTATCGACCAAAGCAACCTAAGATGTCAACCCGCGTGTCATAATGCAATATCAACGATATATGAATCATGTCAACTTCATGTCCTGATAATAACGCGTCTCTATATCTATTTTATTTTATTTTATTTTATTTTATTTTATTTTATTTATTTTATTTATTTTATTTATTTTATTTATTTTATTTATTTTATTTATTTTATTTATTTTATTTATTTTATTTATTTTATTTATTTTATTTATTTTATTTATCTTATTTATTCTTATTTATCTTATTTATCTTATTTATCTTATTTATCTTATTTATCTTATTTATCTTATTTATCTTATTTATCTTATTTATTTTATTTATTTTATTTATTTTATTTATTTTATTTTATTTATTTTATTTATTCTATGTATTTTATTCATCTTATTTATTCTATTCATTTTATACATTTTATTCATTTTATTTTATCTATTTCATTTACTTAATTTATCTTATTTTATTTTATGTATTTTATTCACTTCATTTTATTTTATTCATTCTATTTATTTTATTTGCTTCATTTTATTTTATGTATTTTATTCAAATATAGTCATTGAGTACTAAGCAAGAAGCACAGTTGCTTATGTGACGCCTTCTACTCAAACGAAGGTAAAGCACAATGACAAAGTAAATGATTTCAAAATGGGTGAAAGAAAAATGAATATAAACACGCTTCTCTTTCGTCTGATATCTTTGTTCAATGATCTCCGATGCTTTGTATTTAGATTTTGATGCAAAAAAACAATGAAACTCCTTTCTGGGATATCCTAGTCACTTGCTTTATTTAATCCGATGACAGTTGAGCGAGCCGCAGACCTGGTCACCACGTAACACAATGAGGATTTACGGGACTATCGGCTGTGGCCCAGAAATTAAGAAGGCCCATTTGGGGGTAACTGACTATTCGATTTGCGGATGAGGTTACGGGGAAGATGGGGGAACTTTGTTTGTATTGGAAAACCATTAGGAAACTTGCCCAAACACTTCGCTATGAGGAAACGTCGTAAGGACGGCGGCAAAATGAGGTATCATTTCAGTATGAGCGGTAATGGCATGAAATTGGGTGGGGGAAATTTGCAGAGAGCGTTGTAATCACATGTATGTATGCACAGGTAGTACATACATACATGTGATGTCTTTGAGGGGTATCAAATTATTTCTCATCATTTCAAATGGTAAAAATTTCTGCTCTTCGAATGCTCATGTGCTACTGCCAGCAACTGGGATTCTGAAGATTCTTCAATGACACCTTTCTTGCTTGCCAAGAAGGTTATTTTCAGTATAGTAGCGTTTGTCTGTTTGTTTGTTTGTTGTTTGTTTGTTTGTTTGTTTGTTTGTAAATAGCACAACTCAAGAAGGTATTTATGGAATCTAATGATATTTGGTGTGTGGACAGGTTAGCCCCAGGTCTTGAAATGGCACATTTAATTGCAGGAGTTGTTTAAAGCTTTCTGGTGATGATGCCCCAACTGTGCTTTACGGCAACGGATTCCACTCTACGATAGTTCTTGGAAAATACGGGTTTTTGAACATCTCAATTCTTGGTAGGTATATAATCATTTTCATTATTTCAGAGGGTAAAAATTTCTTCTCTTCGAATGCTCATGCCCTGTGCTCTGATACTTGAATAGATGACTGTTTCTTGTTCTTTCTTAGGCTGGTTACTTAGTGGTTAATACGTCATTCTGTACATCATGCATAGTCTGTACATCTTTCGTCTGTCTTTCAGCGACCCCCACTGTAGGTTTCTACCACTCCTTATGTAATGCTTAGGTCACATTTCCCAACCCGGGGCCCGGCCGGGCAGACGTAAGGAACACAAATTATGATATAAGGGAGAAAAACACAAAAAAAGGTTTTGAAAATTGACCATGAGCACTATTTGTGTATACTCTTGATAAAAATTAATTTTTCGTTCATGCAAACAACCCGGCCGGGCCCCGGCTAGGAAATGTGACCGTGCCATAAGGCCCTTCACAGGAGTCAACCCACGGAGACTGTTGGGGCCTGCATCGCCTGACCTCCCGAGAGAACCGCGGGGAATCCTCCCTAATCCGGGCGTGACACATCCCGGAACACGGCTCTCCTGTGTCCACACGTGTCGGTTAGGCCCTCCCTCAGGCCTAATTCACGGCGTGTTTGGCCGGGTTAAGTCTGTGCCGTTTTGACAGCTCGA